CGCTGAGTAGTCACGTGAGGATGACGTCACCTGAAAACCCCCTATTAGAATAAAGGGCTGACTAAAAATGAATGTAAACATGTCAGTCAGAATATTCTCACTGGATTTGGCTAAATGAAATTGTAATCTGCCTGAGAGATTACCACAATTGAGAATTGGATCAGCATGCAAGTAATTCAATCGATTTGTGACATTTTATGCATTTAAACATCACTACTGTTTTGCTTTGGTTGCACCACTGGGGGGCATGTTTTTTTTAGTTTTTTTCCTAACTGGTTCCCTTTTGTCTTTAGCCATTGAACACTAACTTGCACAATTATTTGTTTATTGATAATATCTTAAGAAAACACAAAAGATGCATCGCATTTTGTATGATTTTATTAGCTCTGTCAGTCCAAATGTTCTATTTTGGAAGGATATGGAAATTATTTTTTGTGAGAAATAATATATTAATATATCTAGGAATCAAATATTCAATTATTACAATAATAGTTAGTCACAGGCCTAAACATAACACAAGGCTTTTAGCTAGCCATGCGTACAACTGTACACTATATGGCCTTTACTGAAAAAGGACAAGTTGTACGGCCTGTTTTCCCAACAGAAACTTCGCTCAAATGTTCATAATTCACCAATCCGGTCTTTACTTGGCTGCCATCTTGAGTTCCCCTTCTAGTGTAATCTCGCGTTAAGTTCACATCTTGCGAATCATGAGAGCTGCATCCTATTGGTTGTATGTCAGCTTGACGCAGCATGAAGGGGCGCTGTTATTGGTGGAATAGCCAATAGCCCTAGGGACTATTACGTTGCGCTGCAAACACGTAGGCTTGAAATGTTGAAAAATTTACGAAAACTCATCAACTGATAAGTTGATTACGAGTTTTTTTGGTTCCTTGGGACAATATTGTCTGTTAGTGATGGGTTCATGAGGCGTCATGAAGCCTTTCGACACATTTGCAAACTGTATTGATATTGTATCGATACTGTGTCACTGAATACTGACACCTGCTGGACATTTAATATTCCTACAGGCAGCCTCTTTGACAGACCAAACTAACACTGATTTCATGACCTACAATATGATTTATGCCATTTTTTCCTATAGTGTATTATTTCATATCTATAGTTTGAATTGAAAATGTTTGACATTTTTAAATGCAGTCCATAAATGTGAACATACAACGGGAAAGTGAACATGTGAATATGGATGTTTGCGGACCACGATTTATTTATTTAATCTTTTTTTAACATAACTGATAAGGAGTTTGTGAATTTGGAGAAAAATAAGAGAGGAACAAAAGGGAGAACAACGGAGAGAGCAATCTCCAGCTTCTTCAAGAGCAATCAGGTAAGAAATGTGACTTGCATAAAATGTTGTGGTAAAGACTAACAACATTAAATTATTAATCACTGGTTTCAAACTGGAATTACTAGGGATTTCCAGCAATATTAATTTAAAGTAAGGTATCAATTTAGAACTCTTATTCTCTTTCTTATTGTTCTTTCAATATGTACTAGATATATTTTTTTGTGAGTGTGCTTAAAAGAATTGAATTCCAAATCTGACAGTTAACAATTCCAAGACCAGCAAGGATTATATTCCATATTAGCCACCCCATGCATATTGTCCCCTACCAAGAAGGACAATTGTCATTCAACCCCATGTAGCTCGTGCCGCTGCGCAAAGTCTGACGTTGTGGTACACCAAGGTGTACAACCTATGAAATATTCCAAGCTAAAAGCCTGCATAACACTGACTATTACATTATTAAATATTTTCAGTTAATTTATTTATTCATATTTTGGCACAAAGAATTTACAGGAAAAATGAAAAGAAAGTAGTTTACAAATTCTCAAGACCTCACTGTGCCAAATATAGTCCCTTTGTGCTTGAGAAACTGTCAAACTTCCCTGATATTAAGCTGATATCAGCAGTAATTAGTCAGGCTCTCTAATCAGGCAAACAACCTGTAGAAGGACTCTCTCCCTACCATCTGTTGCATTCCAACTGCAGTTTTAAAACAGCGTTACCAAAGAACCAGTTAGTAGTTTCAAAGTGGGAGCAGTTGCCCCTGGGGACAGGGCCTCAGAAAAATTAGAGAAAAATATGGAGAAAAAAAAAAGAAAAAAGAAAAGACACCTGAAAAAAATTATGTTTTTATAATCATAAAATATAATATTTTCTAAACATTGTCATCACTATTATGTACATTTTTTTATTAAATAAAACTTGTGATAATTTTTGAGGGAACATAATACGGTTTAGAATATATGTCAGGTTATATTTTTACCTGACAAATGTGTTAGTCAAACTTTAATGGGGCCATTGCATGGAATGATTTTGGAACCCCTGGAATAAGTAAGAGGTACAAATAAAGATTTCCTGTGTGTTTTTTATGGACAGAAATATTTCTAGTCACATTTTTTTCTGTATTGGAAGGAGGGAATAGTGTTGCAGCCTTTTATGCATGTGGCTGGCAGACAGGGATGAATGGGGTGCAAACATCAAGTTCCACCCAACCAGCAACACCTTCTCAAGCATCTTTTAACAGAATGTTAAGCCATACATACTGTAAAATGTAAAGGTGTTGTGGATTATGAAACAGTATGTTTCCTTAAAACCTCTGTTTTGTTATACACTGTAAATAATAAAAAAAACTTCAGTGTACAAAAATAAAATCAGCTATGTCTTAAAAACTGTTCAACTGAAAAGCAATGGAAAAAGAGGATGCAAATAGGAAATTATCACTTTGCAACTGTAGTTCAAAAATGCAAGAACTGAATTGGGCAAGATAGCCCTCAGATTTGAATGGAAACTTACATCCAAACTTCTGCTTCCAGCTGTTGTTACTTTGAATGAGTCAATATGGTAAATAGTTGCAATCCGCCTCATCTTTGTATAAATATTTTCAAGTAAACAAATAGTACTTTTGATAGGACAGTATTTTGTTAACTTTTTAGGATGCATTTTTCTGGCTGACCTACTTGACTTACTCTCTCTCTTGTAAAAGATATTTAGTTAAAATGGCAATTCTGGTTAAATAAAGTCTGTAAATGAAGGCTGCATATTATACTAGTGATCATTGAGAGGTTATGGGAAAGTCTTGTAAAGTAATTTCTGATTTTCTTTTGTCACTATTGGAAGCAAAGATACCCAGACTCAACCCTTTTGTACCATTAAAGCGACATTAATCAACTGATCGATAAATCAGTTTTATGATTATGTATTCTTGGAAACATCACTCTCCCTGCTTACTTAATTTGCTAAATCTACACTTCCCTAAACAATCTCAATCAAAACAACCAACAGCTAAACTGGGACATATTTCGTATCAAATCTAAAAACAAAGTCAATTTAAAACCATAGACCTTTTTATAGTAGATAATTTGAAGTTTTTGTTGCGACTGCGATGCTAGATTAGCATAACCTTTGTTATTGTGAGCAGTGGCTCGACGAAAAAAAAAATGCTAGCCAGCTAAGTCGCTAGCTTAAGAACCTGCATTTATTGAGCAGATACTGCCGTTTTTTCCGTCAAATCTGTCGTGTTTACAGGAAAAAACATCACATATGCAACCAGCAAACCCAAATAGCACTCCATTCTATTTACAACACAGATAGTTTCCATTCCATTTTGAATAACATTATTCGGTTTGACCGCAGTTGAATAAAGTTAGCATAGCATTAGCCACCGCTAGCTAACCAGATGATCGGAAATATAGTTACATTTAATAATATGGTTTATACGTGTTCGTACAGGGAAATAAATACATTGGAAATGAAAACAGTGGTGTATTTGTGGAGTGACAGGTGTATATTTAATTGTTTTTTTGTTTTTTCTGACAGAGCGTAGTCTGTGTTGGCAGTGGCAGCGGCTAATGTTAGCAGCGTCTAACGTTAGCAGCGGCTAATGTTAGGCAGCCGCTACTAATCGGTAGCGAAACGGCTGTGCGCACTCACCAGGATGAGTAGCCTTGCTCCGCCATATCGCCGAAAACAGTGGGTTTCGCGGCTGCGGCTAACAGATTCAGGTCCCGGTGTCAGCCCGCTGGGACCCGGGAGTGAGGGGTCTCTGCTTCTGCTTCACAATCCGACGTTTTAGCTGATTCTTTTAGGTGAAAACATGGTGATACATCCCGGCTGCAGCTAGTGATCACTAGCTGAATTTCGTGCAATTGAGATGAAAATGATGTTTTGCTATCGTTAGGTGGACAAGACAAAGAACCCCGAGGAAAAAAATTAAACTAAACAGATGGTATTTTCGTTGCTTTCGTTAGTGACCTGCCGTCATTTCAGCCGAGAAGGCTCGGTCTGTAACAACGCTACACCCCCTGTAGATCCATATTCTGTGCGATCATGTATCCAGAATAAATTCGGATAGTCCTCGAGTCTGCAGCCCTAGCTGGTATGGAAGACGCTTAGCTTTGTTTTCTATAGCGAGTCCGCGGGAGCGCGCACTAACGCCGAGCTGTAGAGTGGGACGAGCACCGAAACGCTGTCATCCACTGAGAACGATTGCAATAATTTCCTTTAATCTGACAGCAATACAGCCTCCCACTGAAGCTTGTATATTAAATGTATATGTGTGTGTACATATAAATTATAACTGGAACATTGCCATTTTTTTTTAATCCAAAGCCAACAAACCCTGACTTCTATGGAAGCTCTTAAACTAGTATATCTGTGGAGATGAAATACTTAATTGGAAGAGGATATAATGGAAATAATAAACCATAAAAAAACAAAAACAATAAAACAGCTGCATTGGATCTGCACTTTTGAGTGAAAGTAGGATAAAAAATGGAAACAGATAAAATATCACAGACACGGCTTAGAATTGATCATTTCTGGCATAATATATTGTGTATTAATATAAACAGATACAATATTTTTTAAATTGTTGAAATATAATGTAAAAAAGATAATAAAATATTAGTTAATGATATAAAATGCTGGAGGAAATGCGAATTTCTAGTTACTACTATCACAAACCAGGTAATCATCGAGAACAATAAAAATAGTTCATGTAAAAAAAAACAAATTGGTATGAGTGGAAGTTACTGCTAGAAAGCTATTATCTAAACTGGCTAAATACAAACCTATTTCATTCTGGTTTTTATTAATTAGCTGTTCAATACTCAAATGGGACTGCAAAAAAAAAAGTATAAAGAAAATTTAAAAGAGATCTATATAATTAAGATTTTCATGTATCCTGTGTAATGGGTGTAAATCACATTGTAGGTTGTTTACATTAAATTATATTTGTGGTCAGTTAGAATAAATAAACTTTTTCTTATGTGCTAAAAACCAGAATAATGAAAGACTGATTTTGAAAAGTCCTTTTACAAATTTCTTCAAATAAAATCTTTTAGTACTTTTTTATACAAGCTTCTGATGGACAGTAGATACTTTCATACATTTGTGCCAAAGCTTCTGCTATCTTGCTGATGTATTGAGATGTTTCAATATTTCTGCATAACTTACTTTTATATTTATACCCTGTGTTTTGTGAAGTTAATCAGTTTGGTTCCTTCGGAGGCAAAGCGCTGGACTACATGGTGCTGCCCTCTAACTCCACCATTCAATAATACTTAGGTTAGTTTCCTAAAGGTCTCTTTTCCTGAATATATTGATATTGTTATGGCACAAGCTTTAGCCAGAGTGAGTAAGAGTTGGTATCAATTTTAGTCCAAACCATGCTGAAACACAAAAATTGGTTCTGATCTGAAGAGTGTAAGACTGCTGATGCAGTTTATATTCATGTATAAATGTTTTAAACATTGTAGGCACCTGAAGTAGGCAAGGATAATGCACACACATACATTCAAAGGCGAGCCCCTAGTTAAGTCTAATGTTGCTGAATAACCTGTAAGAACTTTGCAAAACCATCATCATCTGGATTTCCACTAATAGATTACAGGCAGAGCAAAAAGAAAACAAGAGAAAACAGCTATACTTTTTCTTTGTATATTTGAAGATGTTTTGCTCTTTGTAGTAAGAGCGTCTTTAGTTTAAATTTTTAATGGACAAAGCAAGTAATGGAAAAACTTCCTATCTGAGAAAAATGTGGTTCGGCTTCTTATCAAACCCATATGACCGTTGGTAGGTTCTTATGCTAAATTAACTATTGATAGGAAGCATCCAGCTTCCTTTTCCTTCCTCCTCCCTTACTGCTAGAATCATTCGGATGGTATATATCATGAGCTGTTGCATTTCCTGTTTAGCTTAAAAGTACTCACCAATTTGTTGTATTCCACTTGACCCAACATAGAAAAGAGGCATTTCTTTGGACTGATGACAAGGCAATCCACACAAACGCCAGAGAGGAGAAAATGTGTTGATGAAATATTCACATTTAACTGAATAGCTTTCATACAATAAACTGAATAAACGTTCCCAAACAGGAAAGCCAAGTTTATTTATATAGTTCATTTCAGTATTAAGACAATTAGATTGCTGAATTAGTAACCTGGGGACAATTTAAGTACAGCTGTGTGTCATCTGCATAGTTATGGTATTTTATCTTTAAAAAAAAAATTACAATATGAATTAGGGGAAGCATGTAGATGTTGAATAGGAGGGGCACTAAGATGGATCCCAGGGGAACGACACATGGGAATTCTGTGGGTTATGATGTATAGTCACCAACTTACACATACGTCCATGTCCACCAGTCCATTGCTATAGCTACAAGACCCAGTTTTCCAGGTGCTCTAATAAAACGGAGCATCAACTATGTTCACTGCTGCACCAAGGTCCTATAATACCAGCACTGTGGTTCTTCCAACATCTGCATTTATACAGATGTAACTGAAAACTTTGACAAGACCAGTCTCTGTTCTGTGGTTACTATGGAAGCCTCACTGGAAGACGTGGAAGTGGCTGGTCATTGATAGGAAGGTGTGTGTAACTGCAGAAACGGCTTTTAAATAAAAAAATCTTAATGACTAAGAGGAGGTTTGAGAGTGGGCCTGTAGTTCTGCAACCACAGCTTGCTCTTTTTTAACAGCTGTTAAATAACTGTTGTTTTTAGGCCCTGGGGAAAACACCTGACTTATGTATCACTTCAGTTAGGTTAGACATTATGACAGGAAATGCTTTCTCAAGTGAAGTTGTGGCTAAGAGAATAAGACAGCAGCAGGAAGAAGTTTTTGCATATGATTCCTTATATGCAGGTATTTGCAGTTTACTTGGTGAAATTGAGAAATTTGTTCAAAGTTATTTCTAATTGGATACAACATTGATAATTTACCTGATACTGATGAGCAGACTGCACCTCTAATCTTTTTATATTTATCAATGAAGTAGTTAACATATTAATCACAGGCCCTGATACTACACTCAAAGACACTTTAACCTTTCGACTGTTGCACATAAAGCATTATTAATGTTCTTGTTTTCTTAGGTTTTTCAATTTGAAGTTACAACTTTAAAGACTCTGGATGTCATAGTGAACCTGTATTCCAGTCTTTGCCACCTGCGTTCAGTCTTTTCATTTCTGAATGGTGAAGCTTTTTTTTTTTTTCATTGAGACTTTTCTTTTCAGAAATGTCCTTCACTTTAAATATAGCAGTGGAATCAGTGATATTGGAAATTTTAGAATGAATGTTATCTACAGCAGCAGCTTATCTACAGACTTACAAGGCAAAGTCGGGGTAGAACTGCACATTTGGTTAGAAGTTTTAGCAGTGATAAAGATGTGTTTTCTTATGTTCTCTTTTCAGCTAATTGAGTCATTGGAAATTTTGCTTTAAGAAATAACAGAAATCTCAGTGGGCAGGTTATAAATATTTCTGCTTTCACCTCCTTATCATGTTGATGAGACTCTTATCTGACCAGGAAGTTTTTGGGATCTGCCTCAACCGGGCTTTTTGTAGGCAGGGCCTAAGTGTTATTTTTGGTCAATTGCAGGAAAGTGTGAATATGCATATTGGTTTGATACTGAGTGGGAACTAAGTGCAGGCCTGGGGAATTAAGTCCGGCTATTTAGTTTTTCTAAAAATATTTCTGGATTTACAATGTCCTAGTTGACTGTAAACCTTCACAAGCAAGTTTAAAGGTAAACTAATCGTTTAAAAGGTGTTAACTTTGAAGAAAGTCCTGCAAAATAAAGGTAAAGAAGGAGAGTTCTCATTGCTGCTACTTTTAGGTAATGGGAATCATTTCAGTAGTCCTAACTGGCCTACAAAAGCCACGCTGCTTCATATTTATATTTTTTTTTAAAACAAAATCTGTAAATATATTCTTTATGTAGCTCTTGTGTGTTGACCAGGGATATTCTCACCATGCTGCAGAAAGCAGCTTAAGATGAGCCTGTTCAAAAACTAATAAACAGGCTTCACATAATATAGAAATAATTTTTTTCCCTACTGCATTCACTTGTATTTTAAAAATTAACTACACGAAGGCCTCATATATTAACCCTTAGATTGTCTTTAAAAAAATTTCACAAAAACTGAATGAAATTCAAATTTATTTGTTTTTAAGTCTCTAGATAGGACTACATTAGGGTTACAGTGATACAATAAATTAAAACATGACATAAATACCTGCTAAAATATCATGCCATGGTATTGTGTTAAATAATGAAAGCAGCTCAGTCTTAAAAAATGATTTTAATAACATGAAAAACTCACCTTCTCTAGGCTTCACATGGAGCACGCTTTCTCAGCAGAATCACAGACACTAGGTACATATTAAAATAAATAACCCAAATAGAACAAAATCTCACCGTATTTTATAGACTGCCAAAGTTTTGTTCTTTAAATGTGCACACAATCCAGAAATCTAAAATAAACAGTATAGAAAATATGCAAACAGCACTTGATTTTAGTGTCAACACTTTGACTATTTAAAATTATATCTGGATACAATGTTTGATTATCAGTTACTATGTGGGTATATTAATATCATTTTAAAGCAATCTTATTGAAATAGACCCCATTATTGGTTATTTGCCGGTACAAGCTAGACTTTTTATATCAAATCATTTACATTCACTATTGATATGGTTTGATACATTTAGAAACACATGTCATATTGTTGTTGTTATTAAGTCAAGATAAAATCTAAAACCTCTGCTGAAAACAAGCTAGCTTATTCACATGCTTCTGGTTACATCACACAAGACGTCAACTAATCAGTATCTTTTTCCTGTTTATTCACATGGTTTTGATCAAATTTCTCCTTTCTCCTCAGCATGAGTTTTAATATTCTGCATGTCTGCAGAAAAGCATCAGAGCTGTATATAAACACACTGCATGAATTTTAACAACATAGAAGGAGCCTGTGAAGCAGCCAGATTGGAATGATCCTTTTTTTATATTATAAAAGACTTCAAATTACAATTTTATTTAATTTTGTGAAATTAAATTGCTTTGGTTGATGCGTATTGTTACAAGGATTTTCAAGTGCCAACTTTTGCTTTCAGTTAG